GCTGTGGTCATTGGGAGTACCTTGTCTTCACGTGACGGGAACCTTTGTGACCCAGCTCCTCACTGGGAGAGCCTGTCCCCTGGGGCTGCTGAGTAGCCCTGGTCTGGTTGGTTCCCATCTGCTTTCTGTTCAAAATGACTCAAATTTGCATTCTGCTGGCTAGTGCTGTGGGGCAGAAGTTGCCCAGACTTGGTAGCAGAAACTCACACCTTTGGTGTTTCCTGCAACCTCTTGGTCCTTTTCCTCACATGCCGACCACAAGCTTGTTTAGCCTTGGTTTTTCTGCTGCAGCTTTCCTTTTCTCCCTGGCTACTGGAAGTGGTGACAGGAAGGTGACAAATAATGACACTGGTAATCTGATCTGGTATGGTCCTTTTGCCTTTCTCCCATGCTGCTCACATTTCATCAAGAGAGTTGTACATAGCTGGCAAGAGGGAGATGGGAGCTCAGCACCTTTGGCTGACATTTTGAGCTTTTGCTGGCAGAGCAATTCAGAGGAGCTGTTGGGAAGAGCCCTTACACTGAGCTTGCTCCTGCCCTTCCAAGAGCTCAGTGGCTCTTGGCTGTGGGTGGCTGTGTTCACTCTGAAGTGGGAGTGATGGAATCGGCTGGTAGCCCAGGTCCAAGGCTGGTAACATTCCCTAGGGGGTGGTATGGCAGTTAGGATCTCCATGTGAGCTTGCTGCAGTGGAACATGTGAACACCATGGGTTCTGTCCTGGCTGGAGCTGCTGGAGGAAGGGAGCAATTTTTGTATTCCTGAATGAGAAGTGTAAACTCCAACCAAGGGCTTTATACAAACCATGCACCTTTGAAATCCTATAAAGAATCTAGGAGCAGAAGTTGAAAAAAAAGAGATTACACCAACTAGTACCAATTCTTTCCTTTATTTTCTTTCTTTTTTTTTTTTTTTTTTTGTTATTAATGGGGGCTCAAAACAGCCTCACTGTAAGATGCCTTAGCTTTGTGATACTGATTTAGGATACCTGTGGAAATAGGACATGGTTAGCACAGGAGTGTGTGGTTCACCCCAGATCAGCCTTTGTTCTGAGAGACTCGTTAACAAACCACACACATACTCAGCCCACATTTCCTTGACACTGAATCTGAATATTTGTTGCTATTTTAAAAAGTACAATGTTTGAGCTGTTGATTTGATCACAAAACAAAACACATGAATGGAAACACTCATTTATGTGACTATTGCTTATACACCTAAGAGGAAGAGTTGACTACAAATGGCCACACGCAGTTCCTTCATGAGAGAGAGTGTGCTCTTACCAGACCCTTCCAAGGCAACAAAACATTCAAGACTGAAATATGCTGTGCTTGAATTCACCTTCAGGCTATGGGAAAGGATGGATGGGACAGGGCCCAGGCTATTTGAGGGTCATAATTAACCAAAATGGGGCTTTGCCTGTGCTACAACAAACACAGTTTATATGTGAAGGAGGCCTTAGGCTGGATGCAGCTCTCAAGTACTTTCTATTGAAAAAAAAAAATGGTTTCTATGCCCACCTGCATTATGCATGCACTGTGGTGTAAAAGGGATTCTGGAAAAGGAGCATAAACTGCTTTAAAGGAAGGTTTATGTGATAATTTTATACCATACATGTAGTAAATAGAGTATTTTTGTTGCACATTTTTGTGTACCAATCCTGGTACCGTGAGAAATGACTAGTTGACGTAGATAGTTGCACTGTAGAACTGTAAAAAAACTTAAATCCCCTCCCCCCCAGGTAATTACAGAAAACCCGATTTTCAAAATTTCAATTGTCATGTCTTTTAATTCAAGATTTGCAACTGAAGTGAAAACTCTAGGAATGGATTTAATTTTTTTATTGATAAATAAAGTATCTTGTACTTCATTGAAGACTTGCCAACTCTGCAGACTTATAAATAATCTAATTTAATGCATTTTCTCTGTCTGTCTACAGCACTAGACACAATTACAAACATCTGGTCAAACCCAAAGGTGTGTGTGCTGTTGGAAGTTCTGTGTAACTGGTTTTGGATGTGATTGTGACAGAGCTCCTGGAGAGAAGAATGTGAGAGAACTAAGTATCTAAATGAACAAACAGCATTTTAAACTGAACTAGTCTTTCCAGCCAGTCTGGCCTGGTGTAGCTGAGGATTGCGAGGCTGAAGATACATCTAAGCTTGGGATTTTTGCTTGAGGTGGTGCTGTCTGAGTGGGAAAGGTGAAAGCACAGAAAGATTTCAACATTCAGTGACAGATAATGTCCTTGATTTTCCCCCAGCCAGTCACAGTCCTACAGTCTTTCTCAGAGTCAGATGCTGTTCTCCTTGCTGGGAATGCTGCAGCTTCATGCTTGTCACTGACAGCCTTGAGCAGCGTTCAGGGCAAGCCTTGCGAAAATCCCACGCTCCCCTTCATTTAACAATAAGTCACCCAGACAAGAGTTTTTCCTCCCTCATTGAACTTTTTAAGTGATTTTTTTTTTTCCACATACATGGTAAATCTTGATAGAAAGCATTTAACAGTGTGCACTAACAAACTTATACAACATATACATTACATATATATATTCTATATATAGAATGTTCTATATACAAACATATACAACTTTTTAGATCTCTACAGACTACAAGAAAATTGATAATTATAGTCACAAGTGGTGAACGTAACAGAAATAGTAATTGGTAACTGTCTGGAAATATGTAAAATATGTAAGAGTGGAAAGCTGTGACGTGATGGGGAGTACTAGAGAAAAGTTACAATTTTTAATACTAAACTTTTAAGTAAGTTTGAGGGCTGCTAAATTCACATTTCTCTATTGCATAAAAATGCAAATGGAAATCAACTGGCAGGTTTTTTTCAGCCTGGTGTTAAACTAGAGACTGCTGTCAGCCAGAGCCAGTTGGGCCTCGTGTGAGAGATTTGTTGAGGACACTTTTCTCTCTGGGTGAGCTGCAGTGATCAGCAGTTAGAAATTGCTCTTAGATTTTCTTCAAAGATCCCATGATTCCAATCAGCCTGTGGGGCTGCTTCTGACTGCCACACTCCAGGGCAGAATGGAAAATAAGCTGGCTGCTAGCCAGTTTGAATGCTGCCGCAAATGATTTTGTTGCCCAGAGACCAGTGGGTTTGGATTCTAGGCCAAAGCACAGGCCCAGTGAATACAGGTTTAAACTGAAGATCAAATTGGTATAATGTTCTCCCTTATTTCTCATTCTCGATGCCTGGTTAGAGTCATGCTTCCTCACAGGCACAAGTGGTTATTTCTGTGACCCAGCCCTTGGAAGGAATTCCCCAACCCAGTTCCTACTGGCATCAGAGTGGCAAGTTTGGCATAGCCTTACACACATACACACAGAGAAATCCTCTTGGGTCATGGACAACTCCCATTCCTTAGCTCTCAGGAGAAACCTGGGCATTGCTTAGGCTTTGACCCTTTCCGCCCCCCAGGTTTCTACAGTTCTCACAGCATAGAGCAGTTTCTCCTGTGCTAGAGGAATTTGTGGAATCTCATTCTCAGTTGAGCTAGACCTGTCAGGGCCATCATTTTGATTTTGCCTACAGCAAAATGTAAAAATCTTGCAAATCATTAAATTCTCTTCTGCTAAAATGGGAATTTAAAATTTGACACCTCAAATCTCTTCCAACCCTTTAACTTGTGCAGTGGGCCAACTGCAAGGCCAGGCTTGTGGATGGTACTATTTCCTGGGCTGTATTTTATTGTAGGTAGAGGAAGAAGATGGAAAACACATTTTTGAGAGGGATCATCTGCACACTGTGATGATACAAACACTGCTGAAGTTAAGGTCTAGGTGGGAGTGGGATGGTGCCTGTCTCCATCAGTGTCCATCAGGATTCCTTGAACGGACAGAAGATGTTAATACTTCTTTAATAGAAAAAATTTAACGGCTGTTTTCCCAACTTTTCCTCACTTTCTTTTTTTTTAATTTGAAACTATGTCCAGGCACATGAAAACAAGCCTTCAGTGCCTTGTTTCCAAGCCAATCACGGAAAAATTTCTAACCTAAGAGTTGACCTGTGTGGCAGTGAGTCTTGTAGGATAGGGTGGAGCATTCCAGCAGTGTAGGCAATAAATCCAGCTTACTGTTCTCTTCTGTGGCTGCAGGTTGCAGAGTTTTCTGCAGCATTCACTGAAAAAACCAAACAAGCCACTTTGAAGCAGAAGCAAATTACTTTTAGCAGTGTGAACAGAGTATAAATTGCCACTCACCCATGGTGTCACTTTATATCTGTGTTCCATATGTACATTAGCAATGGTTTTCCATGCTCCTCCCTGGCCCAGTGTGTAGTGTTTCCGCTCTAATCTCTCTGACACAGGTTTTGGGGGGGTTTCTGTGCAGGCCCCCTTTAATAATTTCAGCTGAGCACTTAAGCTGTTCTGCAAGCTGCTAAGCAGTCTCTGTGACCAGTGTTTGATGGGACTGTGGTTTCCCATCTTGCCTTTTCTAACTTGAAGAAATGCTTTCCAAAGTGGGATTTCTATTCCTGCTACTGGAAAATAAGGCAACCAAGTGATTCAGACTCCATGGGGATGAAAAGTGCCACGGCCCCCCTTCAAGGACAACAGATGAATCTAGAGCACATGTTAAAACGTATAGATTAGGATGATGTGTCATGTGTTCTGAATTGCAAATAAACCATCTATGCACATGTCTTAATCACCTTTTTAGATAGTGCCGGTCCAGCTACCTGCAAAACTGTTAAATTTTGGGGATAGGATTTTAAAATTATTTATTTTTCTGGTAGGAGTTAAAGAGCGCAGCTTTTGAGCATGGCTTTTCAAGAGAAATAAATAGCAGATAAGAAAATGCAGCTCAACTAATTTTTATGTGGAGAACAGTAGCAAACATGCTTGAAATGTACTGGCTTTTTATAATGTCACTTTTAAAAAATAAAGATTTTTGTCATTTAAAGTGTTTTTTCTTTTTTTTTCTCAGAATAGAAATAAATCCCATTTTTCTTCAGTCACAACATGCTTCCTTTTTCTCTTTTTTTTTTTAAGTTGGCAATTAGTCATGCAAAGTTTTATAAGTGCATTAACATTCTAGTTTGTACAGAATATTATTAACCAGATGCACTCCCCACAGTTCATACCTACAGCTTCTGAAAACTACATGCCACAGTGATGGCTGAGTTCCTTTTGGGAAAGAATTGGCCACTTCATGAGTCAGCTGTTGGAAAGACCCTCATGATACCAGCTTCTGTTCCACGGTCTGTAAAATTTCTCCTTGATGTCCACTGTGATGAATCCAGTAATAGTAACAGGAAAACATCTTCTAGGAAAAAACTCTCTCTGGCCAGTGACTGATAGATTTGGGAATAAATGTTGCTTCCCTGAACAGTGTTCCCAATAAAGCCACAAGCAGCTTATTTGAAAGTCTAAAACTGGTACCACTTTTTGTCCTTGTATTTGAGCATCACCTATAGAGATGGGAAAAAACCAATCAAATGGCAATCAAACACCGTCCTGCATATGAGACACCACACATGACCTAGGCCCATTAACTGTTAAACTTGAGAATTAATAAATGCAAAACAATGCAATACTTCACTAACAATGTCAGCAGGTCTTGAGTCCCCTGAGATCTCATATTTAATTTCATAGTTATTACGTTAAAAAAGCATTACCTGCTATTGCTGTTTTTAGAAGTTTTTTCCTGAGGAGCTTTAACTACTTTTCTTCTTCAAAAATTAAAGGAACTTGCTTTCTATAGGAATAAAAAAGACACTTCTCTATGGAGCATAGGAGATATGCCCTGACTATATAAACTTCTTGCATTTCAGGGCATGTCCTTTTTGCCTCACACTTACAAAAGCCAATAAAAATGTAAAGGTCTTCTCTGGAGATGTGATGCACATTAAATGAAAAACATGCATTTTGGGAAGTATGCTTTGATGTTGCTTTATCTTCAAGAAAAATCACTTTAGTTTTCCCAGTCTTAATAACATGGGATGGAAAAGCTTTCCATTTCCAGCTCCAAGCACAGAAGCTATTCCTACTCCTGGTAATTCCTATTCTACATAACAGTACCACAGGGCTGTACTAGTAATGTTCTCCTCTTCCAATGAGATCTGTGAAGGTTCCTATACACTCATCCACCTACCTGTTTTCTGCCCTACTGCATGGATGTGCTGCATTAAGTGACTTAAAAAACAAATCATAACGAATTAGTCAGAAAGGCAAGATGAAAGTGCCACGTTCTAAATTCAGAGGCTAACAATAGATGCTCATTTCTGAAAACGTGAAAGGAAGGGGTGTGCAATGGCAGTTTATTTTTTGACATTTGGATAATTTGGGAGCAGGAACAATGCTGTGCCAGTTGACATGAGCACACCTCCAACACCAGGACTGGGTGAAGGGAGAGAAGGGCACTTAGCTTTCTTAAAGGGAAGCAAAAGCTAGGTCGCAGGGTTGGCAGTTCCCAGTTCCAGGGTGTGGGTGCCAGGGATCCTACCTCATGTGCATGTTTGGAAAACGCCTCTGCGCTGGCCATCATGCTGGCAGTCCTTTCATCAAGCTCACCCAGCTTCTGTCCCCTCTCATCCAGGGCAAGGCGTGCACGAGTCAGGTCCCCAATGACCCCACCCGCGGCTCCTCTCACGCCTTCAATCCCGCCGGATCCAGGGATGTGCTGGGCGAGGCTGCGAGAGGCTTTTCCTGCTGTGGCCTCGCCAACTGCAAAGGAGAAAGGAGAGACAGGGATGAGCTCCTTGGCCCGGCTCTGTCACTGCTCCTCAATCTTTAGTTGTAGCCTTGTAGCACCGACATCATTTGAGGGGCAAGTGGCACAAGTCGAAGGTTTTGCTCTGCCACCATCACATCTGCAGTGCAGTCATGTGCCCCCCCACTCAGCTGATCCAAAGTAGCTCCCAAGGTGAAGGAGTTATGGAATGGTAGACAAGGACCCTCCCCTTCCTCAACTAGGTCAACTTTCTCTTTTCATCAATCATTTAAATCTCGTGTAGTGCTCCATTCCTAGATGACAAGGGCAGGGGATCGCAAGAATTAATTTCTGCCCAAAAAAACCCCCAAACAATAAATCACTCACAAAGCTCCTCTCTGTCAAAAGCTTGTCCACTTCCTCCAAAAAGTCCTTTGAGAAAGCCTCTGTTTTGGGCTTCTGGTGTTTCCACAGGAGTAAACAAATCCCCAAGCATGTCCTAGTTAAGCCAGAAAAAAGTCCATGTAAAAGGTTAGTGAGGTGAAAGTGGTTCTAGGTGTTTTCTTGATTATCATTAACAAGCCACATGCACTGGTTCTAATCAACTAGTTTTAAAAGAGTCTGTTGTGTCAACAGCATGTAATATTTATGTATTCTGACAAATGCTTGGGCTAACTAGACTCACTCATGCTTTCAAAGGGACTTGGTTTGTCACTGCCCAGTCCCATATTTGCTACCAGAGAAAAAAATTGCAGTTAATACAGAATGAAAATACCAGTGATAAGGCCACATTTTGCTTAGAAACAGCAGAGATGACACTATAATTGAATAAACAATTTGTTGTGTAGTATGTATTTTGCTTTCTTTTTATAGCACACCTGAGTTCAGTGCTTGCCAGCAATTCAGAGTTTGGTGGTTTGTTTTTTAGTTGATTTTTTTCTTTTTAAACAAAATTCATTACCTTCCTACAGCCTTCCCCCAACCCATTAGTGTGCCATCAGCAATGATAAATAAGCACATCTGCTGAAGGCATTGCTCTGGTGCCACATCTTGGAGCAGTCACTCCAAATAAATGTCAGGCTCAGATTTATTTGCAGCAGGAAAAGCTGGATCTCTGAAAAAAATGGATGGGAGAAGTGTGCAGTCCCATTAGTGTCTGAAACTGTGTGTACTGGGAACAGTGTCGGCCCTGTTGCTCAGCTCTGTGTTCACTCCACCAAGCCACTGCAAGCAGATCCAGTTGCTGTGCTGCACATAGTGCTCACTCCTGGGGGCTGAGTGTGATGACAGCACTGTGACTCACAGCCACTGCTCCTCTGCACAGTCAGCTGCTCTGGGGAGAAAAACTACTGCAGCCCTTGGAGCCTAAGTGGAGCTCTTATGCAGCCCAGCTTTGTTTTCCCGGGTAGCAGGTGATACTGGGTCATCTGCTTTCTCTACACACGTGCAAATGACCATGCAAACCTTTTTTTGCTTAAAAGCCAAGATAAAAGCAGCCATAGTCTAGAAGTACAGAGAAGCATGGGCTGTGTTTCCCTTTGCTTGGGAGTTGCATGATGCTGTTAAGGCTGGTTAAAAAAAAAACCAACTAGCTTGCAACAGCCTCTTGGTGTAGGTCCATAGTCTAAGATGCATCGGCCAGACCTTCTGATTATTATAAAATTGGCTCCTTGCAAAATAATCTCCTCTCTGGTGCACAAAAGCTGGTGTGCAATGCTCGCTTCTCAAAGTACCTTTTCAGACTTGAGAGAGACAGTGTTGTCGTGTGAGTTGAGCAGCTCGCACATGTTATTCTCTAGGGCATAATGAGTTCTGGCAGGTCCACTTCTTTTATACTTCCATTCTGGTTCTCTGCTAATTATATACCCCCCCCTCTTTTTTTTTCCTTTTATTAATCATGTTTCTCCCTGTAACCTCTCATAATTCCTTCTCTTCAGTAAATGACATTTTCACTTTGCATTTTCATTGTAAAATAACCAAACCAAACCAGCCCATCTCTACCATTGTAAAGACTTTTTGCCCAGGTGCAGGTGACAGTGGATAAAAAAGCCCAAAGAACAACAGAGCTGCTGACCTCTCTCTGTTGCAGATAAGGACCTGCAGCACTGTCCTTATCGGGGCCAATTTACCCTGATGAGTGAGGCCACCATCCCTCCCACAAACAGGCACCAGAGTGAAGTGTGAGCCCTACCTGCAGGTTGTCACACATCTCCTGGCTGTACGTCAGGCGCTGGATCTCTGTGGGAGAGCTCAGGTACAAAGCCTGCCCTTCATTAGTGAAACAGAAGGTCCGTGCTATCCTCATGTCTGTGACAGGCAAATAGTTGATGTCCAGCAGCGGGCGAAGGCTGGGCAAACTGAGGAGAAGCAGATTCCCAGGTTAGTCACCAGCTGCCACACATGGTACACCTGCTCTGTGCCTGCATTTTAAACCAACACTTCACTTCATGCTCCTAGTAACTGCAACAGTTTAAGTACAGCTCTAAGCTGAAAAATTCTGCCATAAAAATGCTGTATTCCCATTGTATTTTGTTTGCTGGCATGGAGAAGTTTCAGCAGCCTTGTCTCCATGGCCCTAAGGCTACTGCTACTGTCTGGATATGGAATGTGCATGTGGCACTGTATGGCTTGTGTCATATGGCTGGGTCATTTGCAGGGCAAGGCCTGCAGGGACATCTGTAGGAAAGGGCCTGGAAGGGCCCTGCTTCCACTCTGTGGACAAAGGCTCCAGCATTACCTTTGCTGTCTTCCAGCTTCTCGTTGTTTGCTGTTTTGGACAGTACTTTCCCAAATTTAAATGGCCTGGCCAGGGAAACAGGGTGCAGCAAGGTGAAGGTACAACTACAGGGCTATTGCACAGTCAGCTCCCTGGGGAAGCAGACAAGGAAGGGAAACCAAGTGCTCTGAACAGAAAATCTTCAGAAGTGCCAAGAGTGGGACTTGGTACTTCACAAAGGATAAGGAGAACCCTTTCTATGGCTGAGCTGTATACTTCTCTCTACCTTACCCACCGTAACTGAGCAAAATTATCAGGGCTTTCTTTTATAATAGTTAAAAATCACCAGCTATCAATTGTCACAGGTACTAGAAAAGAGCAGGAGCTTGCTTTACTGTGCACCTGCCTGCCTTAACTCCCCATGTGGAGACAGCCCAAGGATCAGGTATAGCTGCATTAAGGCAAGGAATTAAACACACCCACCAGGGAGTTAATGCAGAGCATCAGGCACTCAGGAGAAAACACAAGTGGAATATGACAGCCCTGTGCCACATTTTTGTTTAGTTTTGCCACAAGATTAGTAAGATAAGTACCTCAGTGTCATGATGTGCCCATTAGCACAAAAGCACGCCAGACAGACGCTGTTACAGAGGGTGACCACATCTGCTCGCAATAAAAAGGACGTTTCAGTGATGTTGAGGACATAAAGACATGTTTGGGAAGGCAATGAGAAGACTTTGGCTTGTTTTTCTGAACAAATGACTGCAAATTGATGATCACCCATATCCTGGGAGGAGGAAGGGGAATGCATGACTAGTTTCCTTTTCCTTGTTTTGTCACCATCATCAGCACTGTGGGGATCCCTCCATACTTCATAGGGTCGATGTGTCAATGTCCCCATGCAGTTCAAGCATGCGAAGGTCAGCACGGCTCCCTTCAGTGTCAGGACGGTGCCTGCAGAACAGAATTTCCTCTCACTGGCACTGGCACCACAATCAGACTGGTTGTCAGCACAGCATAGCTGACATCCAGCTTTTGTAAGTACAGCACACACATTAATCCAGCCAAGGTGACAAGGTGTGCTTGCTCAGTACTGGAAAAGTCTCAGGTAGCTGATATCTATAATGATGGATATAATACAAGCTGTTGAAGATGGCCCATTGTTTATCTCTACATTTTACTAGTAGAATATTTATTCCCCAATAGTAAAATTGCTCTAAGTCTGGTGACCTTCCAGCACTGGTTTTCAAAACTAAATGGGGGTGGGAAACCTCTGCTTCTGAGCATTCTCCATTATTTTGTCCATTTTTAAGCACATGCTGTCTCTCCTCAGACCTGACCTCTCAGCCCTCTGTTCTCTTTGCTATACCATCTGTCACTCACTCAGCCAAGGATCTCTCCTGGCACAGCAACCTGCCAACATTTTGTTTTCTTTCCTGAACTCTCTTCTGCTTCTCTGCAGCTTTCTGATACTAAGACAGCCAAGCTGTTTGCAGAATCCCAGACAGAATTGTAAACAGGACTGTAATTTCACAATTTGAAGGAACTCTGCTAATTTCCTGGTCCTCACAAGAAACATATAACTTTGCCTGTTACACAAGACAATCTTTGGAACTAACACAACCGAAGCATCTCAGTCTATGAAGTTGTTGGTCCCTCATGAACATCTTCACCTGTGTGCCCTCCACTCAGTGAGTGACCACTGCTTGAGTTTTTGAGACATTTCTGCCCCAAAGGCTGTACAAAATCATGCAGTTATTACCTCATTGTACCAAGACAGATAAAAAACAGGAAAAGAGCTGCACTCTCACCACTTGGTGACACCATGACCGGCTCTGACTGCCGTAAGTCGTCACTAGCAGGCAGATTAAGGGACAGGATTATGACCATTCCTAGGCCTGTTCCAACCCAGAGACAGGAGGAAACAGCAGAGTCATTCTTCCGGGCAAAGGACTCCATGAAGTACAAAGCTGTGATTGCCTCTTTTGAGTCCCTGTCGATACTGGACACGCTGGAGCTTCGGGAGCGGCTGAAGGAATTTTCCCTATTTTCTGCACAAATAAATACAAGAAAACAGGCATAAATTGGTGTTCCATGAACAGGCACAAGCCTGCAGCAAATACAAACTCCCTGCAGAGTATAGAAAATAAAGTTTTCTTAACCTGAGCAAACATTCTGCCCCTAGCATGATATGAGCTTGCTGCCAGTGTATAAATGAGTGTGGAAAATGCTGTCAGACATTATCAGTTAGATCTGCATTATATGGAAATTAGCATGGACTAATTAGAATTTACAACAGCCTTAGCTCAAAGGACTTGTTCTAAATAGCGCAAAATAATTTTAGACCCATATGTTANTTTTTTTTAATTTGAAACTATGTCCAGGCACATGAAAACAAGCCTTCAGTGCCTTGTTTCCAAGCCAATCACGGAAAAATTTCTAACCTAAGAGTTGACCTGTGTGGCAGTGAGTCTTGTAGGATAGGGTGGAGCATTCCAGCAGTGTAGGCAATAAATCCAGCTTACTGTTCTCTTCTGTGGCTGCAGGTTGCAGAGTTTTCTGCAGCATTCACTGAAAAAACCAAACAAGCCACTTTGAAGCAGAAGCAAATTACTTTTAGCAGTGTGAACAGAGTATAAATTGCCACTCACCCATGGTGTCACTTTATATCTGTGTTCCATATGTACATTAGCAATGGTTTTCCATGCTCCTCCCTGGCCCAGTGTGTAGTGTTTCCGCTCTAATCTCTCTGACACAGGTTTTGGGGGGGTTTCTGTGCAGGCCCCCTTTAATAATTTCAGCTGAGCACTTAAGCTGTTCTGCAAGCTGCTAAGCAGTCTCTGTGACCAGTGTTTGATGGGACTGTGGTTTCCCATCTTGCCTTTTCTAACTTGAAGAAATGCTTTCCAAAGTGGGATTTCTATTCCTGCTACTGGAAAATAAGGCAACCAAGTGATTCAGACTCCATGGGGATGAAAAGTGCCACGGCCCCCCTTCAAGGACAACAGATGAATCTAGAGCACATGTTAAAACGTATAGATTAGGATGATGTGTCATGTGTTCTGAATTGCAAATAAACCATCTATGCACATGTCTTAATCACCTTTTTAGATAGTGCCGGTCCAGCTACCTGCAAAACTGTTAAATTTTGGGGATAGGATTTTAAAATTATTTATTTTTCTGGTAGGAGTTAAAGAGCGCAGCTTTTGAGCATGGCTTTTCAAGAGAAATAAATAGCAGATAAGAAAATGCAGCTCAACTAATTTTTATGTGGAGAACAGTAGCAAACATGCTTGAAATGTACTGGCTTTTTATAATGTCACTTTTAAAAAATAAAGATTTTTGTCATTTAAAGTGTTTTTTCTTTTTTTTTCTCAGAATAGAAATAAATCCCATTTTTCTTCAGTCACAACATGCTTCCTTTTTCTCTTTTTTTTTTTAAGTTGGCAATTAGTCATGCAAAGTTTTATAAGTGCATTAACATTCTAGTTTGTACAGAATATTATTAACCAGATGCACTCCCCACAGTTCATACCTACAGCTTCTGAAAACTACATGCCACAGTGATGGCTGAGTTCCTTTTGGGAAAGAATTGGCCACTTCATGAGTCAGCTGTTGGAAAGACCCTCATGATACCAGCTTCTGTTCCACGGTCTGTAAAATTTCTCCTTGATGTCCACTGTGATGAATCCAGTAATAGTAACAGGAAAACATCTTCTAGGAAAAAACTCTCTCTGGCCAGTGACTGATAGATTTGGGAATAAATGTTGCTTCCCTGAACAGTGTTCCCAATAAAGCCACAAGCAGCTTATTTGAAAGTCTAAAACTGGTACCACTTTTTGTCCTTGTATTTGAGCATCACCTATAGAGATGGGAAAAAACCAATCAAATGGCAATCAAACACCGTCCTGCATATGAGACACCACACATGACCTAGGCCCATTAACTGTTAAACTTGAGAATTAATAAATGCAAAACAATGCAATACTTCACTAACAATGTCAGCAGGTCTTGAGTCCCCTGAGATCTCATATTTAATTTCATAGTTATTACGTTAAAAAAGCATTACCTGCTATTGCTGTTTTTAGAAGTTTTTTCCTGAGGAGCTTTAACTACTTTTCTTCTTCAAAAATTAAAGGAACTTGCTTTCTATAGGAATAAAAAAGACACTTCTCTATGGAGCATAGGAGATATGCCCTGACTATATAAACTTCTTGCATTTCAGGGCATGTCCTTTTTGCCTCACACTTACAAAAGCCAATAAAAATGTAAAGGTCTTCTCTGGAGATGTGATGCACATTAAATGAAAAACATGCATTTTGGGAAGTATGCTTTGATGTTGCTTTATCTTCAAGAAAAATCACTTTAGTTTTCCCAGTCTTAATAACATGGGATGGAAAAGCTTTCCATTTCCAGCTCCAAGCACAGAAGCTATTCCTACTCCTGGTAATTCCTATTCTACATAACAGTACCACAGGGCTGTACTAGTAATGTTCTCCTCTTCCAATGAGATCTGTGAAGGTTCCTATACACTCATCCACCTACCTGTTTTCTGCCCTACTGCATGGATGTGCTGCATTAAGTGACTTAAAAAACAAATCATAACGAATTAGTCAGAAAGGCAACATGAAAGTGCCACGTTCTAAATTCAGAGGCTAACAATAGATGCTCATTTCTGAAAACGTGAAAGGAAGGGGTGTGCAATGGCAGTTTATTTTTTGACATTTGGATAATTTGGGAGCAGGAACAATGCTGTGCCAGTTGACATGAGCACACCTCCAACACCAGGACTGGGTGAAGGGAGAGAAGGGCACTTAGCTTTCTTAAAGGGAAGCAAAAGCTAGGTCGCAGGGTTGGCAGTTCCCAGTTCCAGGGTGTGGGTGCCAGGGATCCTACCTCATGTGCATGTTTGGAAAACGCCTCTGCGCTGGCCATCATGCTGGCAGTCCTTTCATCAAGCTCACCCAGCTTCTGTCCCCTCTCATCCAGGGCAAGGCGTGCACGAGTCAGGTCCCCAATGACCCCACCCGCGGCTCCTCTCACGCCTTCAATCCCGCCGGATCCAGGGATGTGCTGGGCGAGGCTGCGAGAGGCTTTTCCTGCTGTGGCCTCGCCAACTGCAAAGGAGAAAGGAGAGACAGGGATGAGCTCCTTGGCCCGGCTCTGTCACTGCTCCTCAATCTTTAGTTGTAGCCTTGTAGCACCGACATCATTTGAGGGGCAAGTGGCACAAGTCGAAGGTTTTGCTCTGCCACCATCACATCTGCAGTGCAGTCATGTGCCCCCCCACTCAGCTGATCCAAAGTAGCTCCCAAGGTGAAGGAGTTATGGAATGGTAGACAAGGACCCTCCCCTTCCTCAACTAGGTCAACTTTCTCTTTTCATCAATCATTTAAATCTCGTGTAGTGCTCCATTCCTAGATGACAAGGGCAGGGGATCGCAAGAATTAATTTCTGCCCAAAAAAACCCCCAAACAATAAATCACTCACAAAGCTCCTCTCTGTCAAAAGCTTGTCCACTTCCTCCAAAAAGTCCTTTGAGAAAGCCTCTGTTTTGGGCTTCTGGTGTTTCCACAGGAGTAAACAAATCCCCAAGCATGTCCTAGTTAAGCCAGAAAAAAGTCCATGTAAAAGGTTAGTGAGGTGAAAGTGGTTCTAGGTGTTTTCTTGATTATCATTAACAAGCCACATGCACTGGTTCTAATCAACTAGTTTTAAAAGAGTCTGTTGTGTCAACAGCATGTAATATTTATGTATTCTGACAAATGCTTGGGCTAACTAGACTCACTCATGCTTTCAAAGGGACTTGGTTTGTCACTGCCCAGTCCCATATTTGCTACCAGAGAAAAAAATTGCAGTTAATACAGAATGAAAATACCAGTGATAAGGCCACATTTTGCTTAGAAACAGCAGAGATGACACTATAATTGAATAAACAATTTGTTGTGTAGTATGTATTTTGCTTTCTTTTTATAGCACACCTGAGTTCAGTGCTTGCCAGCAATTCAGAGTTTGGTGGTTTGTTTTTTAGTTGATTTTTTTCTTTTTAAACAAAATTCATTACCTTCCTACAGCCTTCCCCCAACCCATTAGTGTGCCATCAGCAATGATAAATAAGCACATCTGCTGAAGGCATTGCTCTGGTGCCACATCTTGGAGCAGTCACTCCAAATAAATGTCAGGCTCAGATTTATTTGCAGCAGGAAAAGCTGGATCTCTGAAAAAAATGGATGGGAGAAGTGTGCAGTCCCATTAGTGTCTGAAACTGTGTGTACTGGGAACAGTGTCGGCCCTGTTGCTCAGCTCTGTGTTCACTCCACCAAGCCACTGCAAGCAGATCCAGTTGCTGTGCTGCACATAGTGCTCACTCCTGGGGGCTGAGTGTGATGACAGCACTGTGACTCACAGCCACTGCTCCTCTGCACAGTCAGCTGCTCTGGGGAGAAAAACTACTGCAGCCCTTGGAGCCTAAGTGGAGCTCTTATGCAGCCCAGCTTTGTTTTCCCGGGTAGCAGGTGATACTGGGTCATCTGCTTTCTCTACACACGTGCAAATGACCATGCAAACCTTTTTTTGCTTAAAAGCCAAGATAAAAGCAGCCATAGTCTAGAAGTACAGAGAAGCATGGGCTGTGTTTCCCTTTGCTTGGGAGTTGCATGATGCTGTTAAGGCTGGTTAAAAAAAAAACCAACTAGCTTGCAACAGCCTCTTGGTGTAGGTCCATAGTCTAAGATGCATCGGCCAGACCTTCTGATTATTATAAAATTGGCTCCTTGCAAAATAATCTCCTCTCTGGTGCACAAAAGCTGGTGTGCAATGCTCGCTTCTCAAAGTACCTTTTCAGACTTGAGAGAGACAGTGTTGTCGTGTGAGTTGAGCAGCTCGCACATGTTATTCTCTAGGGCATAATGAGTTCTGGCAGGTCCACTTCTTTTATACTTCCATTCTGGTTCTCTGCTAATTATATACCCCCCCCTCTTTTTTTTTCCTTTTATTAATCATGTTTCTCCCTGTAACCTCTCATAATTCCTTCTCTTCAGTAAATGACATTTTCACTTTGCATTTTCATTGTAAAATAACCAAACCAAACCAGCCCATCTCTACCATTGTAAAGACTTTTTGCCCAGGTGCAGGTGACAGTGGATAAAAAAGCCCAAAGAACAACAGAGCTGCTGACCTCTCTCTGTTGCAGATAAGGACCTGCAGCACTGTCCTTATCAGGGCCAATTTTCCCTGATGAGTGAGGCCACCATCCCTCCCACAAACAGGCACCAGAGTGAAGTGTGAGCCCTACCTGCAGGTTGTCACACATCTCCTGGCTGTACGTCAGGCGCTGGATCTCTGTGGGAGAGCTCAGGTACAAAGCCTGCCCTTCATTAGTGAAACAGAAGGTCCGTGCTATCCTCATGTCTGTGACAGGCAAATAGTTGATGTCCAGCAGCGGGCGAAGGCTGGGCAAACTGAGGAGAAGCAGATTCCCAGGTTAGTCACCAGCTGCCACACATGGTACACCTGCTCTGTGCCTGCATTTTAAACCAACACTTCACTTCATGCTCCTAGTAACTGCAACAGTTTAAGTACAGCTCTAAGCTGAAAAATTCTGCCATAAAAATGCTGTATTCCCATTGTATTTTGTTTGCTGGCATGGAGAAGTT